ATAATAAAGTGCAAGTTTCAAGTGGCTAGAAAATACCGTTGATTTGTGACAATTTTCTAAAAATTCTAAATAAAAAGTTTGAACNAAATGTTTGGTATGCAGTTTTGTAGCCCATTTAATTTTAGTATAATAAAGTGCAAGTTTCAAGTGGCTAGAAAATACCGTTGATTTGTGACAATTTTCTAAAAATTCTAAATAAAAAGTTTGAACATTTGGTGAAAATTTGTCGAATTTTTATAATTTTTGTTCAAAGTTTGAAATCGGATTTATATGACGTTTGTTACATAACTCCTAGGCTTTTATGAAAAAATATTAGACATATAATTAACTAAATAAATATAGCCAAAATTCTTAAAAGTACGACGAGTCTATTATTTCTGCCGCCAGTGTATTCTGTAGCTATGAAGTACGAGTTTTGTGTATAAATACATACATATGTATATGTTTTCTAAAAATCGTTCTGGTTCTAAATATCTTTTTCTACCAACTATAACTTTTTAAAAATTTATTTTTTTTTATGAAACCGTATTAAAATTTTCCATTTAATTTTAGTAGCATTTCTGTAAAAAAAATTAACAATTATGTATATATGTTCATATAAACTTTTTTAATTTGTACTTAATATACAATTTTTTAAGTTTCCACAAATATTTTCGATTTCAAAACATAATTAAATAATAGCTAACTAAGTTATAACATTTTTGTAAATATTTTATCACTAATTTCATTCAAAGAACTATTTTGGGGCATTCACAAGCTGTCATAATTGTCGTTTTGCCAAAACAGTCGTATTGTCCTAATGTTTCGAATATTCAAACGATCAAAAACGTTTTGTAGATGCTACGAAATTTTTCATCCATATAAATAGTCTGCTCCAGTACTCCAAGACGTCAGAAGACCTTCTAGTACACACATTTATAATATCTTTAGTAATAGATATCTCCCTGATTAACTCTGACTGTTCGTCACTAAAATCTGGTGTACTGGAATAGGCAACAAATTTATGACATACAATATAATAGTAACCGGCAGTTGTACTAACGTTCGATGTAAGGGTTCCCTGGTCTGCCGGACGACCCTTATGAAACACTAGTCATGTTAAAGTAGGTAGGCTTCAGAACACATTCAGATACATGTAGCTGTGTCGGTCCTACAGGGCAATGAGAACTTGCCCTACGAATGCCCTCAAACCTATTCCTTAGTGTGAGTTCAAAGTAGATTTAGTTTGGAAACCTGTCATCTCAACCCCCGAAATGAGCCTGCTGTTGAGTTTGCCAGAGAAGGTTCCAACACATTGGCCTAAATCGAGAGCCGGACCTCATCCCGAATCGTAAATATATACAGACAAAAATTTTGCCACCCATGGCAAAAAGCAGCCCATTGAATCTGTGGAGCATATGAGTTTACTTAATTGCAAGTTCTGTCTCAAAAACCCCCAAATATATACTAAGGTTGACTCTGCCATCAACAATAATTTGATTCATTTTAGCATAGTTTAGCCGCAACTCTAACCTAATCTATGACATATGGACTCATTATGACACCTTGTGAATCCCTTAACAACAATTAAATTAAATCGGCTTCTAAAGTGCCACTCTTCATTGCCTACATACATATGTAGTAGAGCCCTACCTTCCTTTCGATTATTCGATAATAATCGGCTCTACACATACACCTCCTTAGTGCCCTTGGCAGGCTCGGGTGGGCGTTTTGTCAAAGCGCCCTCCCCATGCGTTTGGCGCGCTGATGCTGTGCCTTCGGCGGCGCCACTGCCCGTCGGCTCAGCCGCTGAACGCACCGATGAATTACGCTCCAGTATATAAGAATCCTGCAGATTTATGTTTAAATTGGCACTAAAGCTGCTATTGCGCGAAATATTGGCACCACTATTCAATGGCTTGAGGGTGAGCATGGCATTATTTGTTGTGGCTACCAAGCCACCACCGCCGCCAGCACTACCACCATTGCCCGCAGATCCAGTGTTGTCATTGTAACTGTGCGGCACATCCAGATTTTCATTGCCGCTAAAGTCGTTGATGGAACGCAACGAAGAGGAGCGCTGTATTGCCAATGAGACAGGAATTTTAGTAATGAGATCGTTGGCATCAAAACCACTGCCGGCGGCGCTGGTGGTTATGGTCGGCAATTGTGTACCACCCAAAGGCAAAATATTTAAAGTGCCAGCGGGTATTGTATCCGCGGAACTGGTGGTCACCGTGAATGGGAAAGAAAGTGTAGTGATGTTAGTGGTAACTGGCGCTACAAATAAAAATAAATAATTTTTGTTTTATACAAATGAGAGCATTCAGTTGCAGTGACTCACGTGAGACAACACCAAAGTTCACATCCTTCAGATTGGGCGGCAGTACGGCTTGTGCCAGCGCCGTTGTCGTCGGATGCCCTGGAATCAGAGTGTTATTCGAAGATGAGCTATCCATTTCTTTAATGGGCGATAACAAGAGTGTGCCCAAAACGGGTCCATCCTGATTGTTCGTGCTCGTGTACGGATACATGGAGGTTGGGGTGCTCAACTGTGATGTCATAATGACAGTTTTCGTGGCTATGGGTGCAATTGAATTTTGAGTGGGTGTGTGCTAAAGCAAATGGTGTACCGTTAATGAACTTACCATTCAAATCTTTTTCACCAGACTCTTTGGTAACATCGGGTGTGGGAATGCGTGGACGTGCTTTGGGAATGCTCGCATTGAGGCCGTTTAGCTTGGAATCTGGGGCGTAAATTGCGGTGGGAGTGTAGATCAGGTGTATGGTGAAAATAAATGGAACAAAAATGAAAAATATAGATGTAAATCACACGAATAGTAGTAAACAAAAAATATTTAACTAAATGTTGCAATCGCACCAACTTACTTTGCTTAATCAGTTGCTTTTGCGCGCGTTGCGATTTACGATTAACAAATTTTCCATAGAAACTTGGTTTCGATTGCATTTGCGTGGCTTGTACACCATGCTGTTGCTGCATCGTTTGTTGCTGCATCGATTGTTGTTGTAATATGTTGACCGGCATGCCAGACTCGGGACTTGAGTATACGGAATTAAGGCGATTACGATTGAATGCCATGCCACTCGATGAATAGGCGGTCGATTGACTACGTATGGAACCCATGCGTGAAAGTTGTCGCACCAGCCAATTATTTTTGCGGCGATCCACCATCGGTGTATCAACACTCTCCTGTGGCAAGCATAAAATACATACATACATACATACATTCCTACATATAGATACACATATTTTTAGGCAAGGAAAATTATTCCTTTAACTCACATAATCCGCGTAAACGTCATCGACTTGGCCCCGCTTTGCGCCACCTGGCACTATATTCGCATACATGGCATCCTCTTTCTTTATTTTGTAGTTCTCTGCTGAACCTTTGGGCTCTTCGCGGCGGTAGTGCTCTGAGGCGACCGTATATGGCAGCTCCTTTGGCACAACGCATTCCCAATATTGATCGCGCAATAATTCTGGGTGCTCCTCGTGCATTTCATCGACGATCATGTAGGCGGCCTAGAAAAAGTAAATGAAATTAAGTTAAAAAATGGGCTTCGCAAAACTGCAACAGGAAGGATTAAATCTCGTAGTCTTATTCTAAAATCTTCGTATATGTTTTCCTTTAACAGAGAAAATACAATTTGTCCTATAGCGCGTCGCAAGGCAACTTCTTGGCTTGTTCCGTGCATCGTATACCTTAGCCGAGGACATCAATCAGCCAGGCAGGGGCATTTTTAACATTACGGGTCCTTATAAACCAGGTACATACCCTCGAATCATAGTCTACTAAACGTTCGCCATGGTGGTCAACAAATATTAAGGAGGTTCTCGCGATTTTTTGCACTTTCATTGAAATTAGTTTTTACGAAGCGGGTGTCAAACCTGGCGCACAACCGCATATTTGAATAAAAAAATTTTGGGTTGATAACATCTTTACATGAAAGTTTTCAAAAGCAATTAAATTTCAGCTACTTAAATCTAATAATAGCTTTTCAAAAACTAAGCATAGACGCTAATGAACGTTTACTTTCATTAAGATTCATTGCCATAAAAAATCAATCAACACTTATTGACAAAAAAGCATAAATAAAATGCAGATACACAATGGATCAAAATAAAATTCATGCAAAATGTTTGGCTTTAGTGAAAATAAACACTTCTATGATATGCAAGTATTTCGAGCGCAAGTAATTTCATTTGCTTTTGGCGCTATATGATTTATTCATGTTATCAAATTAACTCAATAAGTAGAGCTAAGTGTTTTCTACTATTGCATGTGCATAATACTTAAGTCAATTGTTTATTACAATTATTATCTAACAACATTCGTTATGCTCCTAATATGGCTTATAAGTGAGAGTGCGCCTACAGAAATGTCAGTTAGTCAGTCATTTAACCAACGCAAGTTTGAGACGATTTTTTTTTATTTTTTGAAAAATCTAAAGTATTGAACCAAAAATGTAAAAAATCTACTGGATTTTGAGATTTAGCCTAATTATCGTTTTTTGTTTTCAAACTAGGAAAATCACGTTCTCAATTTTTTCCGAGAATCTACAGTTCTAAATATCTGACCGTAAAACATTTCCACCACTTTAAAGGTCATACAATTTTTTTATCACTCCGCTATATAATGTTTTCTCATCAGATTATCAGTTTAATAATTATCTGTAAATTTATTTAAATTACACCCAAAAGGGACAACCTTCTTGTCTTTGTTTTCATGTGACGTTAAAGCTTAATTAATTTCAAAGAATATAGACCTACAATTTTTTACGAATCGGTTTAAAAAGAGAAAAACTATAGCAATTTTAGTAAATGATATTGGATTCAGGCAACGTATCGATTTTGTACAAAATATAATTTCTATTACGCCTGTTTTCGTACGCATTATTCAGTAAAATCCAGTAATAATTTTACTGATTTGAAATTGAGAGAACAAAAATGACAGCTGAACTTGCAGGTTTTACTGGATTTTTACTAGTAACTATTTGCCATTAAGAAAAGCAGCTGATGGCATGATGCTTAATGCAACTCACATTAAAAAAAAAAAAACAATTATTTGTGGTGCTTTAAGAGGTAATTATAGAGAAAAGGATATATCTAGATAGAGACACAGAGACTCAATCTGGTAACTATTTTGCGATGTTAGAGATTTCCGGGTTTCTCAGGACTTATAAATATAATAATCGATTTTTTATCGATTTTTTTAACGACATTTTTATCGATTTTGCTAACAATATTATTATCGATTTTCTATCGAATTTGTCATCGACTTTGTTATGGATTTTTTATCTATTATTTTTTCAATTTTGTTATTGATTATTTATCGATTATCTATCGATTTTGTTAACGATATTTTTATCGCTTTTGTTATCGTAATTTTTATCGATTTTCTAATCGATTTTTGTTATCGATTATTTATCGATTTTGTTATCGACATTTTTATTGATTTTGCTATCAATATTTTTATCGATTTTGTAATCGATATTTTTATCAATTTTCTAATCGATTTTGCCACCAATTATATTATCGATTTTGCTAACGAAATTTTTATCGAATTTGTCATCGATATTTTTATCAGTTTTGGTATCGATATATTGTTGGATGAATGAAGAAAACTGTATAACATAAGGAAAGGAAGGAAGGAAAACAGTATAACATAAATGTAATTAGAACGAACAGGGGTAGAGGTAGAGATCTAGATAATAAAATTATTTTACGAAAATTACCTACAACTTGAAGCTTACGTATTGCAAGAAGGCGGCCAATTTCGACTCAACTAAATGCTTCTAAAATTGTCTGTAAAAACAGCTCGTGTGAACACCGTATAATAAAGTTCTAGTTCCAAGCAGCTAAAAAGTCATGTTGATTTTGAATAATTTTTTTGTTCGCTGACGGAGTTTTCCACTTTTTTCAACATAAGCATGTTTTTATTATGAAATAAAATGCTGAAGATCATTCGCAAAAAATTGCGAAAATTCAATGCCAGTTCTTATAAATTTCACTTAGGTACTAAATAAAAAAAAGCGTCACAAAAACAGAATTTAAAAAATCAACGCTGTTATGTAGCCGCTTAAAACTTGTACTTCATTCACTCAATTTTCGTTGGCTATAAACCTGCATACCCAAAAATGTTCTAAAGATTCCGATTAAAAAGTTTGAAATTTTGATGAAAATTTTTTGAATTTTCCTATATTTTCATAAACTTTGATTTATCGGATTTTATTTAAAGCTAACACAATATTTTCTTAAAAAAATAACAAAAAAATTTAATTAGAAAACCATTGTGAACATATAAAAAGNTGTATCAATTTTGAGTAAATTGGCGTCCTTCAATTTCGAAATATTGAAGTTTCAAGCATTTCTGAAATTTACCGTTATATGAAAAGCGGCCGTAATTTTAGTCCGATTTCAATAATTTTCAACGCTTTGCTTTCATGTGGCAAGCACAATAACCACACCGAGTTTGGTACAAATTGGTAGAACGGTTACCGATATACATATATGTGATCATAAGTGGGCGGTGCCCCGCCCCTTTTCCAAAATTGTACCATAAAAGTGTTTCTTGGTAAAGAATTTTTGCAAGCATCAATTTTGAATAAATTAGCTT